ATATCAAGTTTGTTCCACTTCTGATACCACTACAGTTCCACGTTGGTCAAAGGACCATCCTTGAAATTATTGGATTAGTTAACGCGGTGTGTTTAAACGCAATTCGAAGACACTGAATACTATTCAAATTCTCAATATACCACTCCTGGACAAAAAAAAAAAACAAAATAGCACACGTTTTTAGATTGACAATCTAACTAATTTTTCAAATTAACTTTGGAAGAAAAAAGTAAATCTACGATTTATACTACAAATCTCAGAACATTGACCAAAAAATAAACCAGGACGGTTCGAATACAGATTAGCTCGATTAATACGACCAGGAACAGCGTCAACTTTAATACCTAACGACTGTATAGCCCAAGAATGAATTACATCAATAGACGGGACAACTAAACAAATAGAAACTTTAACGTCTGCTATCTTCAATATGATATACGCTTAATTAAAAATTCAAATTTCCTCTTCAAATAAAAGATCCTTTAATTACGTGGAAAAATTCGTTATCAAAGGGTGGGACACTGAAATACTTTAAACAGCCACGATCGTATTTACAGGACACATTTTCGCCGAGCGAAGGGAAGGAAAGAGGAAAAGTAGTATTCGATGCAGTCGACTCGCCATACGGCGGTTCTTGAATGTTTAGTTTGCTTTCGTACCGGACAGAGTTTATTCCTGTATATTTAATGCAAAGCAGCTTTCGAGGAATATAAACGTTTACGTTATAAGTCCGTTAAGTGGATGAGGATTTACGATTTGAACGATGAAATAGAAACACACTTTTCAACGATATTCTCAAATGTAGAGTGAAATAAAGCTACACGTGTGTCATGTAGAATTATTGTTAATCTGTAACATCATTTTTGCGAAACGAATGATTCAGTTAGCGTGCTTCCTTGGAAACGTAGATTGGACTGACGTGATGTGGAGTATCAGTGTAAGCTAATAGAGCAAAAATTGAAGTATAATCTAGAGTGCAAACAGTGTAGAATATGAGAAAATGTAGTTTTCTTGCGTTAAAAATTTTATTTCATCCTGATAATTCTCAAGAAACAGAGTTGATTCGCTTAATTGTTTTTCAGTTCATACGAAGAATTTCACTTGGAAATAGAGATTACAACGAGATTAGAGTTCGATTGACTTCTTTGGAGTTACACTTCAGAGAGTTCAGAATGATCAGCTATAGAGCTGACACTGGGCAAAGCTTATCGGTGATTGATTAATCAGAGAAAGGAGGATGTGAAAAAAGTGCCAAATTTGCACCCCTTCTGGCACTTAAAATTTTAACGAGGCATCATTCTGTAAGTCCTGAGGTATCACGAACGCACAATTATTTAAAGCAAATGTGATGAGTTATAAAATATGTAGATGAATTTGACGGTACTTCGAGAGGCGAATTGAAACTTTCGGACTTCAAATGATCATAACTTCGAAACGAATGCACGAAATGAAGAAATTGAAACGCTATTTTATAAAGGAAAGTCAATATTTATATAGCGTGTAAAAACATATCGATGAAATTGTTAATTAATAACAGTAAAACGCGACAAATTAAGATTAGGTACTACTATGCAAATATTCCATAAAATGGAAGTTACTTCTGAAAGAAGATGGAATGCACCGAATAGTCCTCTATGATTCGTGAACCCATATTGCTCATAAATACATCGCAAAAAGATTCAAGTTACACGGTGTCTTTTTCTCTTAAAAAAACAAAAATGGAGAAAATTGCCAATTTTTGGGATCTTCGAATGAAAATACCATCGCAATCATTTTCTTGCGCTCTTACATGGCGCCATGACTAATTGATGCGTTACTCTCCCCGGCTAGAGCTTTGGAAATCTTGCTACGAAGAATTCTATTTTCTGCTGGTTCTGTTTTAACGAGTTTCCGCGGCAAAAGTACCTTCCGATATTTGCATATGACTTACGGCTACCTCACAGTGAGTAAGCTTAAAATGGTAATGCGTGCAGGTGCGGAGTCGGGGACAGGTCGCTTAAAAGCACCCAATTAGAAACTTTCTGAGGGCTGACCTCGTCGACCGAGTCTGTTAAGCCCAGGTTTAGACGAAGAAGTTCCTCATTCTGTGAACGTAATCGAATTATGGTTAGGTAACGACCGTTTCGTTCGATGAAAGAATCATTTTTCGATCGAACGGATAATTATTGGAGCTATTAACGTTCGTTGGCCAATGCCAATTACCGGCCAGTTTCATTCTTTCACCTGTCATATTCGTCAAGGGAGTCTTTTCATTCTCTGCAATTCAGCTTTTTTATTGTTTAAAAAAAGGTATGAATATCAGAAGCGTCATTTAAATAGAATTCTCAGTGCAACGAAGTTCCTAATAAATAAAATCATCCCAAACTATTTGAAACCAAAGTTTTAATTCCAGTCGAAATTTATTTTTGAGAAAGTCTATCAGTTCTGACTGAAAATAAAAACCTCACAATTAACCTTCGTAATTTAGTAAATACTTCGTTTAACAAGAATTGTGTCCATCATAAGATGTCTTTCTTTTTCGATTTCCTTTCAGATTTCGTTCGAAATGGACAATGTGAGTAAGTTCTATTCGAAACATTTGCTTCAGACGAGGAACAGTTCGTGAGATAATTACGCGTGTACATTAAAATGGGACACCTTGTGTCTCTATTGGAACGATCGGTCTGGTAGTTTGATGCAACGTCGGCTGACATGGTGAAATTCGTTGTCTGAGAAGTGAGATAAAGGGCCCTCGTCTCCTACGGCAAACGTAATCGAAGAGAGTTGCTCCCGAGCGATTGCTAGGTATATACATCGCGATAACAACGAGGTGGCTGCCTTTCCATTGTCGTTCCGCGGAAAGATCCGAGGAACGCTTTTAGGTGATACATTTCTGAAAATTTCATTCCACGAAACGGGTCTTCGCCGATCTTATCACAACGGTTGGATGAGACTTTTCTTGTGTTACAAACGAAGTAACGAATTCTTCCTTCTCCACCAGACACAGATGGATCCCAGTTCGATATGCAGCGAAACTTTATTCCTTACAGTGTGATACAGAGAATGACACAAAGAGAAAGAGAGAAAGAGAATTCTCCTTTTAAATTTTAAACACTGGATAAATGAAATTCCTGGTTTGCCTACCGTTTGAATATATTATGACGAAAAAAGAAATCCGTGTTTTCTAGCTTTATACAATTGTAACAACAGTATAGTGGCAGAAAATTTTTAAAGCGCCTACTGGTGCCAATAACGGTGAAAGGGTTAATGATTTCAAAGGGTGGAAGATTAGTTTAAGGTTAAGATTTGATTTAATTTGTGTTACGACAGGAATATTTACCAACCTTCGTGATTCCTTCGATGAAAGCTCTAGTAGCCAGTTCACCAGGACCATCGACGGTTTTTCCATCGTCGTCTGGTCCCCAGGAAGCACTGTAAATGTCGATGTGCTGAGGATTGAGACTGAGAGATCTCGCTTCAACGGCATCTGTTACATCCCCGTCCAACATTCTCACTCCTATGTAAAAGAGAATGAAAAGAACATTTTTACCAATATATCGTTAATTAATTAAGCTTAACACGAAGAAAGTTTAATACTTTCTTATGAAAAAGATTCACAGCTCTTTTAAAGTTTGATACAAAAAGGACGCGTTCCATTTGAAAAATTCAAGGACATGTTGATCTCATAGATCAAACTCATAGATTGCTAAATGTTTTCCAATCTTATGGAAGAATATCGATTGTAATAAATACTTCTACAAACTTTGATATCTCGAAAATAAATAGATTATTTAAGAAAACTTTTTGACATAATATGTTTCTTTTTTTATACTGTGCAATTTCTATATAAGACACTTTAGAAATTATTCTGAGTGGACAAATTATGTGTCCCACCCTGTATATTTCAATTTAGGAAAAAAGTAGCGAGTTTTAAAATTAGCCTCATTCGGTGAGTATTTATATACGATGCTTATTATGTACATTGTTGCAGTGAAGTGGCTAGAATACATTCTTCAAGTGTACTCACCCCCAACGCCAGCTCCAAATGCAACTCCTACAGCGCACATAGAATTGTTAGCAGTTGCAGCCACTTCACCAGCACATCTGGTGCCATGTCGATTACTGTCTAGAACATCGTACCGAGGCATGGGATCGTCATCATGATTATTGACATCGTAACTCGCCTGCGGATCCTAGAACAGCCATTTCATTTATCCTGTGAGACACATGCGAAACCGTAACTGAAAGTAATAAGAATTTTTCGACATTTTCATAGGAAATTTCGGTAAAGATTTTTAATTTTTTCACTGTGAAATTGCAACTAAAAGTAATAAGAATTTTTTGACACTCTTGTAGGAAATTTTGGTAACGATTTTTAACATGTCAGTGAATTATTTCTCGTGCAGCTGTTAGTTTACATTAATTTTCTAATTTTAATATTAAATTTCTAATTTTTTTCTCTTTTCTGTTTCCTGATTCAGACTTTTTTCTTCATACTTTCGTGATACTTCACGTTTGAACGTTTCAACCTGTCGTATTTCGTCGCTCAGTTATTCGCCACTGTTGTTCATTAAGTTTCAGATTCTCTTTCTTTCGCTATTCTTTAAGATGTTTAATTAATATCGAGCGAACTACTTTCGCAATTACTGAATATAACTTGGCTACGATTTTACCAAGTTCCTCGTGAATATCGATTTCCAAGTGAATCCGGTGTAATTGCCTTTTCCTTCAGGCAGTTTACAGGATTGTTTTAAACTTCTCAGTCCAATACTACGGTTTTCAACCTCCTTTTCGTACGAAATTTTTACCGAATATTTACAAAGTAATTCCTACCACGACAGACTGAAATCATTCGATTTCCTATGAATTTTATCCTCCTCAAAATTTTCGAAGTTACAGCACCCCTCTCAAATATTACAAAATTAGAAATTGGGTCATTTGAATCCAACAGATATATCATCAAACAAACAATAAAGAACCTATTTAAAAAATTGCTCTGAGGGAATCTGCAAGGAATGCGATAAAGAAAAAAACTTGAATATTGCCCAAATTTTCAGTGATTACAGGAACGACCCCTTAAAAAATCGACGCCCTCTCATTATCATTCTCATTTACAAATAAACAACACCGTTGGAACGAAAGACTAAAAGACAGACAAAATCGCGTGAAATTCAACATTCTTCATTAACGAATGGATAACTTGAAGTTCATCAATCGGCATGAATCTTGTTTAGATCAATATCGAGGGTTGCAGAGACCGTGGCTGATCATGGAGGTCCGTGTCTACTGCGAGATTATAGAGCTCGATACACATTTCTCTGCGGTTGCCTTATTAAGCCTGGCCATTCGCTAGTAAACACACGCGGTTCTCTCGTGCGGTTCAAGTCTACTGTTTGACCCGGTAGCTGGCTCCGTGTTTCACCGGCAACTTCAACAATTCCCGCTGAATTCAGTTCTTGCAGTTCGGTAACTCCGTTCTTTCAAATATTTTCCACGTTAGTTTACGACCCACCTTTCTTAGCACGAACCCTCCACTCATATCTAATACCCTTCTTCACAATAATTTTTCGCGTAACAAGGTTACACGTTGCATCTAGCTGGAATTAGACGTTTAGTATGTCAGAGCTTTCGCGAGAGTTTCCGAAATATCGGTACAGTTTTTGGCAACGTTCCAATGTTCTCTGTTTTGCAGACTTCGCTATCTAATGTTTGCTCCGTTTGCTCGGGGGAACTGTCCATCTTTTTGCGTGGAATAGAACGTTACCTGGCAAATTTCTGCGACGTTGATCTTCTCTTTTGGAATTTGGTGTTCCTTCTAATTTCGTGTGAATTAAAAAACGGTAGGATGACAATTATGCGATGAATTTTTGTGTTATTAAATATTATTATTTTTATATTTTCCTTGGGAAAATCTATTAGGAATTAAGGTGAACTTGTGTCTCGAGTTTAATTCTATCAACACAGGACGGTAAATAGGGCTTACGTAGTTCCTGTAGAGATCAGGATGATTTTTTTCCAATCCATCATCAAGGATCGTGACCACGATCCCGTGCCCTGTAATTCCTTCGGCCCAGGCTTCCTGCACGTTCATGTCTAATCCCTTTCCTCTATTCTGAAACGAATTTTTCATAAGCATTTTAATATGTTCCTCTGCAAACCTTGAATGCAATCATGAAATTTTTTATTCGTGCTAAAATTAATCGACCTTAAAAGATCGAGAAATAATTGTTTCCAAAAATGTTCATACTCGAAAGAAAAATGAATTACTTTCGATTCGAATTTGACGAGAACATTCAAATAAATATGCAATACTTTTCTTATCGATAACGTCGGTGTAACTAAATTTTCTACGCACGTTCGACAGATTCAACGATAAGAAACCAAAGCTCTCTATTATCATTTAAGGTGAACCCTCATAATACACGTTGAAAGTCAGGATCTCTAATAAAAACGAAGTTAAACTAACCAAGTACCACATTTGAGGCCACATATCGTCGTTCAGAACAGTTCTCATGTTGGACGGACCGCGTTTCATAATCAAATCTCGTTTCGTTCGTGATTTTACTCGCTGTTGCTCCGCTCGACGTACTCTGCGGTCTTGTATTAGTTTTTCGTGTACTCCAAGGTGTGGTTCCGCTGACCTCTTCATCACTGACGTGTGCACTATGTGGTACCAATCGTCGACTATCTGTAGGAAAGAATAATTCCATATTAATACCTTTAATACCGTAATCACGAGGCATTTTTTTCCTTCGGTTCAACGTATTCTCCCCCGTCTATTGTTACCACGGGGCAACAAATGAATCTTAAATGCGGGGACCATCGCGTTTTCTGAATTACGGCTGGCCGCTTCATGCGGGGAATAATTTGCTTTCCACGTTTCAACCATTTCACGGCAGACAATGTATTTCCCGAGGATACACGAGGAGGAACTCTGTATCTTCAGTCGTTGAAATAATATTTATCGAGATTTACTTTGCTCCGGTACGCGGAGCTAAAGCGGAGAAAAGCAATTAATCGTACGGATCTCTTAATTTTGTTGAAGGTAAATGGAATTACTCGAGTTAAAGCTTAATACGGAGAAATTAACGGATCGTTAAGATAAGTCTGTATGTATATTTCGCACGAAATGCTTTTGTTTGAAATTGTTCGCTATTATTTGGCGAGAAGTTTTTTTTCTGGAAAAGAACAGAATAGAAGGCAGAGAAGCGTCGTAGATTTCGCGAGGTTTTCATTAAGAACACGGTGTGTTCATCATTTTTTGGATGGTGGAAAAAATGTTGTGCCGCTGGTAGCTGCAAAATTATTTCAAGCACAAGTTTGTAGTACTCCTTGGCGATACACAAAAGTAAAGATATATGGTGCAGTTTAATGATAAATGTGAAAAGTTGGCAACAGCTGCCTGCAGTCAAGCTTCTTACTGTTTCCTTCTTCATGACAACTTGCACTCCATTTTTTTTTCAACCTGAATATTTCTTTGTTCCAAGAGTAGTTTACCTTCCACGATGGAAGTTTCGTTTCTTATGCTTTTATCGATTTACAAAGCCAAATACTGTGCTTGCAAACTTTATCGCTACATATTTATTTATCTCTGAACAGCTAAGCTCTGATAAGATAATTTGTTTCATATTGTCAATGTATCGAAAATAAATATTGACAATTTAAATCGATGAGAAGTTGATCATCATTTTCAATTTCTTTTGGAGAAGTAAGAATGAATAATTATAGAAAAAATTTGCTGGTAATAATAATGCAGTAGTGTAGCAATACGTAAGTAAAATATAGATACATGGGCGGTAGGGAGTTATTTTAAAATAATTAATTTACTGCAGAGAGAGAGAGAAAGAAACCAAACTCAACGCTGAGAAATATCAAAGAGAGAGAGGGAGAAAGAAACCAAACTCAACGCTGAGAAATATCAAAGAGAGAGAGAGAGAGAGAGAGAGAGAGAGAGAGAGAGAGAGACAACAAACGCTCATAAATATCGGAAAGACCAAAGGGAGGAAGAGAGAAATCGGAAATATTTTTCTAACGTTGGTGGTCACCCATCCCTGACACATTAACTGCGACGAATGAAGCTTGTCTTTGAAAATCACTGAAGAGGTCCCTACTCCCCCCCATTTTCCTCCCCGGTGTACATTCTTATAGTATATACTA